AAATACGCTTTCCAAGCGTGCACTTTCAGGAGACAAATACGCCATGCATCAGGTCGGATTGAATTATTATTATAAAAGTGATGGATTTCCGCACAATCAATCTATAGGATGTGAATGGATAAAAATAGCAGCCAAATTAGGTCTAGACGACGCTCAGCTTTTTATTGGTGAAATTTATAAACAAGACGACATATTTGAACAAAATTATTTCAAAGCAAGTATTTGGTTTAGACGTGCAAAACAGAAAAAGGCAAAATTTCAACTAGGTCTTCTTTATGATTTAGGTCTCGGTGTTGAACGGAATGTTGAAGAGGCCAAAGCTCTTATGGAAGAATCTGTTGATAATAGCACCGCATTTCAATTGGGTCTCTTTTATTTTTACAATGATTATTATACAGACGCCTTACATATGTTTGAAGCATGTGCCCAGAGAGGTGACATTGAAGCTATGTATCGTATAAAAGATATGTATTGGAAGGGACAAGGTATTGGCAAAGATGTACAAAAGGCATTCCAGTTGTTGGAGTATACTGCCAATTGGGGGAATACCAAATCGCAACTTATACTTGCTAGCTTGTATACAAGAGGACACTATATAGACAGAAATATTGCAAAAGCAACAGCGAATTACTTTTTGGCAGCTGAAGCAGGTGACCCCTTTGGAAAGTATCAAATAGCCATGCGATATCTATCTGGTGTAAATGTTGGGCAAGACTATATGAAGGCATTCCATCTGCTTCAAGAATCGGTAAATCAAGGATGTGAACAAGCAATTAAGTTACTTAATGTACCACCCAATATTGATCACTACAACGTGGACCGTACCAATATTTTGGACATGTTTCTATTGGTGACAGAACACCATTCAGCAAGTATGGAATACAATATTGGATGTATTTATGAAAAGCGAGTAAACAGGCAGCTTGACACGATACAAGGACGGCTAAATGCAACAAATGCCATTCACTGGTATACACTTGCTGCTAATAAAAACAATGCCAGTGCACAGTATAGACTTGGCCTCTTATTCGAAGAAGGTAAAATTATTGAAATGGATTTACCACGCGCTTCCAGTTATTATAGAATGGCACTCTCTTCCAGACACTGTGATGCCATATTCCGATTGGGATGTATGTATATAGATGGTAGAGGTGTTGAGCAAGACCTTATAAAAGCATATCATTTATTCAACGATGCTCTTGGCATGGGGCATAAACAGGCAAAAGACATCATTGAATTGCAAAGTTATATAAAGAGTAATAAATACACGACCTACATCAGAAATACAATTGTCATTGTACAGATTAGCGATACCAACAATATAAAAATGATGGAGACCGTGGCATCCGAAAATACTGCAGTGCAATACCAACTTGGTGGTTTATTTAGATTTCGCGAGCCTACAAGAGCACTATTTTGGTATGAAAAAGCCGCAAAAGGAGGTATTGATGATGCTTACTATATCATGGGTCTCATGTACGAAGACGGAAGAGAGGGTATCAAGCAGGACTATCTTAAGTCGAGTCAAATGTATCATTTATGCATCAGTAAGGATCACCCAGAAGCCTTATACCACCTGGGACAGCTGTATCAGTATGGACGAGGAGTGGAGCGAGATTACACAAAAGCGTATCATCTTTACAAAAAAGCAGTTGAATTAAAAGATGGAGGCGATTTTAAAGTATTGAACAGAACTAAAAAAAGTAATATAAATCCTAGAAACAGGTATTCCGACTGTTACTACGAAAAGTTCAATGATAGCATTCTGATGTGGGAACACCTCGCTCAACAAGGAAATACCCAGGCCCAATATGAGTTGGGTGTCGCATACCAGTTAGGCTTTTCAGAACCCCGTTTTTCAGATTGTATAAACTGGTATTCTATGGCTATAGATCACCCTGACGCACTTCGTAGCCTCGGCTATTTATACGAAAAAGGTTTGGGAGGACTTGCTCAAGATACCCAGGTCGCAATTAAGCTGTATGAAAAAGCAAAAGAGTTGGGGGATATTGATTCCATCCATCGACTGGGTGAAATCTATTATGAAGGTACTGAAAAACACGTAGATACCATGAGGGCCATTTTATTCTATATTGAAGCAGCCATGAATGGGTGTACTGCATCTAGAGATATGTTGTGGAACTTGTATTCAAAAGGTGTTATTACACGTCAAAATAATTCTAAATTACTGAAGGGATGTGAAAATCTGTATCATCAATCAATTTATAAAGCACATAGAGATTATATTTTCTAAATATAATAAGCTAATTCATAGAGTACTATTTATTAATAAAGAAAAATATGATTTTATCATATGAGTCTTCTAATTTGAGTAGGTAATATTCTATTACATACCTATAAAAAGACATATATAAAAAGAGAAATTAATTTATTTTGAAGTAACACCTCTTTAAGAATGTACTTACGTGTAAAAATCTAAAGTCCCTAAGAAAATGCGTTTTCGTTTGCTGATAGGTTGAGTACTACTTTCTTCATTGGCATATAAATCTGTGAGCGCTCTTTTCCAGACCAAATTGTGTTTGCTTTATATATGTTTCTTGCTGCATTTAGATCTTTATTCTAAATGATTTCACATTTTGAACGCTGTAGAACACCAACTCCTTTTCTTTTGGGTGGTAGACATATCTTTTTTACTGCAACTACTGCACACCTTTGAAGTATTGTACTCATCAATTGATAGAACTATCCGGCATTTTGTTCCTTTTGCTCTTTTTTTTAGAGCTCTCTTTCTTTAGTCTAGTTTGATCCTTTCCAAACATGACTGTGATAAATATAAGAAGATAGATATATAGAGAATAATGGACGGTTAAGAAGTGAGTCTCTTGTTCTCGTTTATTTAGTAGAAAAGTGAGAGAGAGCTCATTTAAAATACTGGAAAGATTATTTATAATAATGGAGATTAGATGATTATGTGATACAAGACCTTCATTCATAAAAGGAAATGAAGTTGGTGGTTCAGGTCGATTATAATAAGGAATGTCTGTCATCCACGACAATGACCACACAAAGTACAATCAACGGAACATGATCTTTATCTCATTAAATGGATTAGGAGTCCATATTTCTCTTGTTCACTTGATCTATAAGAAAATGCTACTAATTATGAAGTACAAGACTTGATTACTTAAAACTTACCCTTTATGTTTGTCTTCTTGCTGAACCTTCGCTGCAAATTATTCTGGATTCTTCTTGAGCACCTCTAACTCTTGATTTTTGCGTTTCTCTCTCTTCGCCTTGGACTCCTTTCGCTGTCTCCTAATCTTTTTTTGTGTTTTCTCCTTTTCTTGTTATATTTTGTATCACCATTTAAAATCATGTTCACCATTTTTTTCTTTAGCTCGTTGCCGTCTGTCGTATTTGCCTGTTAACTTGTACAACATATACAAGTTAACAGGCAAATACGACACTACCCTCCACCAGATACAGAGTACATTGAAGACCAAAGGAACAAATTTTAAACTGTCTTCTTGACACGTAGGCGCTTGCTATTTCTAATTCCTGTTCTAGAGGAACTAGTAGCTTGCTTCTTACCTTTTCCATTCCCAATTGGAGGAGAAAAGGCTACTTTCATTTTACCAAGAGCAAATAAATCATCTTTTCACTCTCTCTCGAGTAAATTTTCTGCCGTTTCTAGACTTTGTATTTTTACCTCTTATCTCACTTGTACACTAGTGTACTGATAACTACTCAATAATTTCTCTCAATTTACATTCTATACCACCAAGTCCAGCTAGTAACTTTTCTTACGACGAGTCTATTCTGAACTCCTTCCGTTCAAATTGTTCTTCGTATTTGAACAACTAATAAGAGGGCTGAGAGTACAGTACCAATCCAATGTTCGTTCACTACCATTGAACTGTGGATAGATACTTCCAGGTATGTGTCAACAATCCTTTGCGTGACCACCATCAATACAAGAATCTCTACTCTGTCCACACGAGTACCTAGCACTGATACGTGGTGTACTTGAATTTAATCAAAGTTCTCTTCTTCAATAACTATTTCTATTGCTATTATTGAACCTTTTTTCAATACTACAACTTCGACAAAATCTAGTATCTCCTGGTCACTCTTTTGCACTTATGAATCAAGCTACCTTCTTAATATCATCACTGACCCTACTTACCTAAGGATGTCTGTTCAAGTTACTACAATTATAGTAGGCATTTATAACCTTTGCAAATCCACTCGGAATGTTCGGATTTTTCTTATTACATTAATGGTTACGTGGTAGACCATTCTGAGGAAGACCACTGTTTTTGAAACCACACCAACGTTTACGAGACTTGGTATACCTAGTCCTAAACCTGGTTTATAATGTTTGCGAACAACTATGGCTACAACCATGTTACTTATTATGATTCAATTTATGACGACACTTACGATTTCGTTTCCGAGTTAGATTTGTCTTCTAGTGAGAGAGAAGATTCTGTCCTTTATCTCC